TAGAGGAAGAAGGGAGGAGGGTAGAGGAAGAAGGGAGGAGGGTAGAGGAAGAAGGGAGGAGGGTAGAGGAAGAAGGGAGGAGGGTAGAGGAAGAAGGGAGGAGGGTAGAGGAAGAAGGGAGGAGGGTAGAGGAAGAAGGGAGGAGGGTAGAGGAAGAAGGGAGGAGGGTAGAGGAAGAAGGGAGGAGGGTAGAGGAAGAAGGGAGGAGGGTAGAGGAAGAAGGGAGGAGGGTAGCAGACAGAGGGAAATTTTTTGATTCAGGTATCTGATACAAACAAATGTTCGTAAGAACCACGTCAGCATGCAACGAACGTGGCCACATCACCTGTAGGCATGGTCCACGTGGAGCCACCTGCCAGGAACAGCCTGATCGCATGGTGCTTCATGCCACTCCGCCTCTGCTTCCGCCAGCCAATCCCCCCCTTCCCCCCCCTCCGCTCGACCCTCCAGCCCCCCTTCTTTCCCCCATCCTTCCCCCCTTCCGCTCCTTTTTCTGCTCCTCCCTGCACTCTCCCCGTCCGCTCTGCTAGTACCCGCTCCACGTCCCCTCCTGGATGCCCCTGTTTCCCCCCATTTCCTGCCCCGATGCCAGGAGTTGGGGAAGATTCCGCAGGAAGCTGGGAGGAATATCTCGAGTTGGGGAGGTTTGCGAATGGGTGCGCAACGGTGAGGGTCCAGTTGGCAAAAGGCTCGACGCCCTGCTTGGCGAATTTTGCTGTGTAGTTGAGATTGGTGCAGCCGGATATGACTGTGACGCTGCAGCAGGGGGGAAGGGGGAGATGGGGAGGGTTTCGAGTCAACTCAGAAGAAGGTCCAGTTGGCAAGGGGCTCAATGACTTGCTTGGCGAATTTTGCCGTGTAGTTGAGATGACTGTGACGCTGCAGCAGGCACCAGCGGGGGATGGGGGTATGGAGTCTACTCAGGAATGGGTGTACTCGCCACGCCACGCCTTGCTTGGCAAACTTTGAGGTGCTGTTGAGATTGGTGCAGCCAGATATGACTGTGACGCTGCGTGGGGTGAGAGGGAGGAGCGGGAGAGGGGGAGGGAAAAAAGGTGGGGTGGGAAAGGGAAAGGGCAATGAGAGGGAGGATCCGCGGGAATATGGGAACAATCCCCCCAGGACGAACGGGTGGGCGATAACGAGGGTCCTCTTGGCACAGGAATATATATTCTTATGAATATATTCGGATGACCAAAAAAGCGTGTTGAGATTTGAGCAGGTGGATGTGACTGTGACGCTGCATGGGGAGGGGGGCTGGAGGTAGGGAGGTGAGTGATCACTCACCCACACTCACACCTGAAGAGTTAACTCACGTGTATTCCCCGGCGTCCCAGACTCGATAAGACACCTTCCATCGCTTGCTGTCGCTCCCAATGCGCTTCACGTCCGCGTACGCGATAGAAGGCCCCCACAGCTCCACTATAAGAAAGTCCACGAACGCTTCTGTCGCCGCAAACACCCACTTCGCGGGCGGTCTAATTTCGATCTCGAAGCTACACCACTCCCCCGCAACGCACCCCGCGCACCCGCTTCCGAACATCAACACCCCCCCGCGCCGCTGGCCGGAGTGCTTCCGCTTTTTCCGCCGCCGATCGCGGCTCGCGTCGTCGTCCCAGCCGTACCCGCCGTGGTCGCCGGACCACCAGCAGAGCGGCTTCCCGCCGAATTGCACGGCGCGAGCGTCAAACGCGGCGGCGGATGCGGTGGCGGACGCGTCGACAAGATCGCGCGCGCCGATAGCGGCGGCGTCGGTGACGCTGCCTTTGTCGCACGGAGCGGTTGTTGCGGCGGCATTTGCGGGAGAATCAACGACGAAGCCGCGCCATGCCGAGGCGCCATCGCCGTCCATTAAAACGAGAGGACTGAACCAAAACGCTAGAGCTAGGATTCCCCCCGTTAGTAGCACCAGCTTCAAGAACTGACGCGCGTATTGCGAAGCGGGGTGGGCCGCCGCTAATCCGATCGACATTTCCGTGACCTATTAAACTCAAAAGTGCCAGCTTTGTGTGAAACTATCTTTGTCTAGAACCTGTTTTGTAGGAAATGCGCGTCGGCTCCTCCGCGACACACGAGGCGGGGGGGGGACGTGAAGGAAGAAAGCGCACGGATAATTAGGAGACCAGTGTTTGGTTCTGGAATCTGTACCGCGAAACGAGGAGAGATGGGCGGAGATGGGAGAGAACTTCAAAGCGGGAGAGTTGGAGGGAAGAACGAAATGGAGGTGGAGAGGGAGGTGGGCTTGAGGTGGGATGGGGTTGGGTATGGTGGGGAGGGTAGAAGAGGCCAAATGGAGAGCAGTAGAGGGCGCGAATAGGAAACGAAGTGTGAGTCGGTGGGTGAGTACAGAACTTTCGAAACAAAATCTGGAAAACCACCTGGCTGAACGACGCGCGGGATGCTTTGATTGGTCCACCTGGCTGAGAAGCCTTGCCATTTGCGCTCCGGCAACACTTTTCTCAAACTAGTTATGGCGTGTAGCTGCATGCGTACGTTGTATTATACGAAGGGAGAGCTAAACGAGCGTGTATTATTTGCGTTTATGTACTTTTAGCGAGCAGGCACTTCTCCAACCGCCAGCAGTCTGCTTTTATGGAGGATTCGCAGCCGCAAGAAGTTGTCGGCAGCAGGCTTCGCGTCAGCAGGGAGATCGGCAATCCCAAAGGGTACATCACCACCAGCACTGGCTCCGCATTATTTTTCAACGGCAGGTTGGTGAAGTATGAAGTCCCATCCTAGCTTATGCTGACAAAGACCAGAGACAGCTGTGAAGTCTATCGCATGAATCTGTGGTCATCCGTGCTTCACCATAACCGTTGGAAGCGTAGACGAATCCTCTCGTTATCAGCGACAACAGCTGTGTCGTTCTGTACGGTATGTCATCTGATCTTCGCTAAGGCTCCCTACATCTAAAAACTAGCCCTGACAGTTGCCTGAAGGTGTTGATCTCCCCGTATCGAGTCTCCTCGCAACTGATTTGACATCTCAGGTCCTAGCCCTGACAGTAATCTGACGTTATCTGTCAGACCACTTTTGAGTCGTCGCCTATTCTGACGAGCCTTCTCTCAGTTTTGTCTCTCCTGCTTGACCGCCTGTTCATCGCAGCACGAACGCTTCATCCCGCATGGTAACGCCACTGTCGTACCACCACGATAAGTTAACAACGGAAACGTTGCAGCCATGGCCACGGTCACCCCACCGCTACTCCTCTCCGGCGCGGTCGTTCGCGGACTCGCACAACCCAGGAAGGTTCCCAGCAAATCGTCGGTATTTTCTGGGAAACTTCCGTCCTCGCCAGGCCTACTCCTTGTTTCTCCGAGATCTCTCACTGCTTCCGCCCTTCAGAACGAATTCTTGACCGGTCAGGGTTCGAACCCGGGTCGGGTTATTGCCATGTCCGCTGGACGAACTTCTGGAGGCAGGAACAGACCCGCGGTGCTTCGAAGCTCTTCTGAGGGACCCATTATGCTTCCGAGTGGAGCCGCAACCGGCAATCCCGAGGGTATTGGCCCAGCAGAAGGGTCAGAATTCGGCAGAAATTCGGATGAATCAAGCCCGAATTCGTGTGCACTGAGCCGCGACTGCACTCTTGTGCAAGGATCTGGGCGGATTATGGACGGATTGACGCAAGATGAAAACACTGGAAGCATTTACTATGCGCCTAAAAGGTCGTCTCGTCACACAGGAGCGTGGCGCAATCCGCATAGCTTGAGGCGGGATGGCGGGTGCGGTGACAGTGTGAGCGGGAGCAACTGCAACGGCGGGAACAAGGGCAGAGGTAGCAGGAGGAGAAGCGGCGGCAGCAGCAATAGAAGCAGCCGGAGTAAGAGCAGCAGCAGCAGTAGCAGCGGCAGCAGCAGCAGCAGCGGCAGCAGCAGCAGCAGCAGTGGCAGCGAGAGCAGGGAGCTTTTCACTGAAAAAGTCTCCTTTATAAGCACTCCACATAGTGGAACAGTCTCTCTGGGCTCAGGCACGAGGCGGAGCGTCAGTGGTGTTGTCAGACCCGCCACAAGGTATTCGTTACAAGCACAATTTGGTCACGTTACAAGCATCCCGCAGAGGGATGCGTCTTCGCCACAGAGGGCGAGGGCCTTAGAAACAGTCGTTCGTTATAGTCACGGAGAGAAGCCCTCTCTGCTGATGGACGACCAGGCCCTGCAGAACCTCCCGTTACAGTCACTTCGGACCCGTCACACTCCATACAAAGGGTCTGATGGTGGTGAACGTGACTATAGCGGGAGTAGCAGCAAGGCAAGGGGAAGAGGGAGGGGCAGGGGCAGGCCCGGCAGGGGGAGGGCGGGGGAGAGTGAGAGGGGGAGGGAAAGAGGGAGAGGAGAGATAATCCAGGCGGACAGACAGGAGGGATCGTGGGTGCGAGAAGGTAGGTCAGGGGAGAGAGGGAGGAGAGGAGAGGAGGAGGCAGATGCGAGAGGCGCGAGAGCAAGGGCTGCTGCGCTGCAGAAGTGGCTGGAAGAGGGGTATGCGCTCCTGTATGGCTCCCATAGCCCTCCTGATGCCCCTGGTGCGTCTGATGCCCATGGCCTTCCTGATGCCCATGGTGCTTGGGATGGTGCTCGTGATGGCATTGCTGACAGCGGTCGTGCTGATGTGGCGAATCGAGGGAAGGCGGGTGCATTGATAGGAGAGTCCGTGCACAGCACAAGCAGCACAAGCAGCACAAGCAGCACGAGCAGCACGAGCAGACCCAGCAGGAGCAGACTCAGCAGCACCAGCAGAACCAGCACCAGCAGAACCAGCACCAGCTGAACCAGCAGGAACAGTCTCAGCACCAGGAGTAGCAGCAGATTTATCCTCGCCCAAGGGTGCTTCATTTATGCGAGTGCCGTTTCTGGAGGTGGAGAAGATACCGGAAGGGCAGAGGTCGGCTGTAGCGTCAGCTGTAGCGAGGGAGATGTGGACAGCAGGCGCAGCCCATGTCGTGGCAGAGATCTGCCGCCAGGTAACGCCTTCCCCACTAGCTGCCGAGCTTGGCCGCTCGGTCCTGCCCTGGACGGCCCACGACGACGCCTGGCTGTTTCCTGCTGCTGCTCCTGCTGCTCCTGCTGCTCCTGCCGCCAATGCTTCTGCTGCTGCTCCTGCTTCCAGTTCTGCAAAGGGTGCTGCTAGCAACTCTGGTACATTGTTTACTCGTGCTCCTGCTGGTGATGCTGCTGCTGCTGATGCTGGTGGTGCTGGTGCTGGTGGTTTGGACACGGGTCGAATGAGGACGCGGAGAAGAAGTACGAACCTTCAAATTGCCGTGCGACAGGCAGCAGCATTTGGTCGGCACGCCAGAGAAAGTGGGCGTCATGCAGTGGCTGAAGGTGGAAGGCAGAGGAGGAGTGGTGCTTCTAGTCAGGGATGGGGCAACGGAGCAGCCAAGAGAGATATGGATTTGAAGGCATGGGGAGGAGGAGAATCGGCTATTGGGGAAGATGAGAGGGAGGCATGGAGGGAGGCGTGGAGGGAGGCAGGGCGGGAGGCAAGAAGGGAAGCAGGGAGGGAGGCAGGGGGCGGGGAGGAGCAGGAGGGAGGGAGTGACGCGTGGGGAGCAGAGAAACGGGGGAGAAATAAGCAAGGGGGTAGCAAGAAGCGGAGGAGTGCGAGTGAGGGGCGTGTGGGGAAGAAGGATGGTGCAAGTGCAGCTATGGGGGGAAGTGGTGTGGCATGGGAGAGGGAAGGTGCAGGGTTGGGTGGTCGGTTGAGCCAGGAGGAAGCAGAGGCATACAGCCGTGTGATGAAGGTGAGTGAGTGAGTGAGTGAGTGAGTGGGTGAGTGAGTGTGAGTGAGGGGCAGTTGGGGGGATGGATGGTCTGCGTGCAGCTAACAGGGACTGGTGTAGGGGGGATGGGTGAATTCGTTTTCTTCTTCATTCATTCCGTATTCCATGTTCAGGCGGTTGTGCAGCTCAATGCTCATTACCGCAGGTTGGTTACCAGCAGCTCCACCCCCACCAATAGCATTCTTCCCTTCCCCCCCCCTCTCCTTGTGGCTCCCCTTTTCTGTGCCTCACGTGTTCAGGTGGTCGTACAGCTCAATGCTCATCAGCGAAGAGTGGTTACCAGCACTACCATCACCGATAGCATCAGCAATAGCAGCAGCAGTAGCAGCAGCAACGCCAACAGCAGCGGCACCGGCATCGATAGCGATGGCTATGGCCGCCGCGAGCAGGCGTCACCACAGGAGCAGCATGGACTGCGGGCGAGCAATGCAGACGAGCACGGTGGGGACTCGGATCACTCGGATCATGCAGCCACTGACAACAAACATCCTCGGGACCTTGTGCATCTGTGAGCACCGGCTCTTTTTTTTGTACTCTATCCTCCTTTGTGCATACGCGCTTCGCTCGCAGACCCTTTTAATTAAGCCCTCAGTTGTTCAAGCTTCTTTGGATGCTGGATCATACCCCTCCACACACTCAATCCCTCACCCCTTTTCCCCCGCGCCCTCCCAAAAGGGAGAGATCTCTCGTCCCTGTCCACGCCCCCGTGCAGTCCAGGCCAGGCTCCCTTCTGCGCATTCGGGCCTGGTTCTGCGCGTCTACACCCTGACCATCTTCCCCCTTCTCGCCCCCCAAATCGCTCTCCCCCACACCCTCCCCACCATCCCCCACAATCCAGGGCGGCCCAGGCGCCCCTAGCTCAGCAGCGCCTGGTGGCAGCTCATTCAGGGCTGGTGCGCTCCATTGCGCGCCGCTTCTTTGGCCATGGAGTCTCCCTCTCCGACCTCTATCATGTGCGTGACGGGATGGTGGTTTTGTGGTGCCAGGGTCTGTGGTAGTGGAGAAAGCGGGACAAGGGGGGATTGGGGGAACCACTTCTTTGGCCATGGGGTGTCCCTCTCCGACCTCTACCATGTGCGTGCCGGGATAGCGTGATGGATTTACTGGGGGAGGTAGGGGAAGGGGGAGAGATGGGGGGAGATGGGGGGGATGGGGGGGGTGGGGGAGAATACCCTCAGGTCAGAGCATCTCTTTTCGCACCTTCCCCTCTCCTTCTGGCGTCTGCCTGCCTGCGTTCCACCTCTCCTTCCTCTCGTGCCGTGAGCATCTCTTTTCACTCTCTTCCTCCTCTCTCCCGCACCTTTCTAAACGCCCCATCCTCTTCCACTGCTTTCCCTCCGTTCTTCTTTTCCACCCTTCCTCCACTGCCTTCTCTTCCAACACCCGTTGCTACCACCGTCACATGTACAGGCGGGAATGACTCTTTTTTTCCCCCCCCCCTCCATTTCTCCCACCAATACCCGTGCACCAGGCGGGAGTGACGGCCCTGCTTCGAGCGGCTGCTACTTACAACCCCACTCTCTCCTCCAGTGCCACCAAACCCGCCCAGTCGAGGGCCCAAGCCAAGGATAAGGCGGAGAACGAGGAGAAGGAGGATAAGGAGGGCAAGGCGAAGACATGGCAGGAGGACGAGTATGGCATGCGGAAGGGACGCCTCTGGGCCCTGCCTGGGCTGAGGAGGCGAGCCACTGTGGAGAGTGGACAGGGAGAGGCAGTGAAGGGAAGAGGGGGAGTGGAAGGGGACAGGGGAAATGGTGAGGGAATGAGAGGCCGAGAGGAAGGGAAAGGGGCAGGTCAAGGGGTGGGTGAAGGGCCAGCAAGCATGCGACAGGAGGTGATGCAGCAGGAGGTGCCACATGTGGCGCTACAGGCAGTGCTAAAGCAGGGCCAGGTAGAGCAGGGGCAGGCAATGCAGAGGCAGGGGAAGGAGGGGCAGGGAGAGGGGAGGAGCAACAGCAGCAGCAGCAGGCAATGCCCTTCTCATCGTGGGCCAGCCGTCTCGTCTATCAGGTGAGCTGACTTTACAATCCCTCCCGTTTCCAACTTCCCACCTGCCACCACCACCCTTTCGAAGCACGCCCCTTTGTTTCCCTGTCTTGCTCCCCCATCCATGTCTGATCACCCCTTGCCTACGCCTTTCACCCCTTCCATTCGCCTGCTCCATGCACTTGCTCCCCCCGCCCAATCCCCCTACCTCTCTGTCTTCCCAAATCCATGGCTGTCGTCTCACCAGACCCTTCAGCAGGAGGTGTGGCGTCGGTCGCCTGTCTTCTCCTTCCCACGCTACGCCTACTTTCAATACGCCGAGATCTCTGCTGCCTATGCTGTAAGCGCTCTTCTTGCCATGTGTCATTCTGTGCCATTTTGTGCCATTATAACGAGGTGAGTTTCGAGGCACTGTAAAAGCCACTCGCCAGTCTTCTCCTTCGCGCGCTACGCCTATTTTCAATACGCCGAAATATCTGCCGCCTATGCTGTAAGCGCTCTTGCTCTCTCTCACCTCTCACCAAAGCCTTGCAAGTGTCACCTATTCCTTGGATTATTAAGCTCGCAGCCTTGCTTTCCATGCTTTCAGCTTTTCCCTCCCATTCCATGCCCACCCTTAGACCTCCACCCCTGTTTCCATGCTCTGTCTCTCCCATCTCCGTTCTTCGTTCTCTCTCTCCCCGCTTGCCTTCTCACCTTCCCACCCATCCCCTTTTTCCTCCCAGTCATTCCGCAAGCAGCACACACGGGAGCCCACCCTTGAAGACCTCTCAGCTGCCACCAGCCTCTCCCCCCAACGGGTATGTTGTGGAATTTACCCATGAACCTTGCGGTAGCTTCAGAATGTGCCCGTAACTGAAGGGGTAGGTTACGAAATGTGCCAACAAACGCAGTGGGTGGGGTATGCTGCAAATTGTGCTCTTGACTTTATGGGGACGCTGAGTAATACACCCACGATATGGTGCAAGTTACCATCGCTCTTGGCTCCCTGCCATTCCTCTCGCCCACCAGATTGTGACTGTATCGAGGGCCATAGGAGTAAACCTCACTGCATGTTCCCTTGGCATCCCCCGCCCACCAGATTGTGACTGTATCGAGGGCCATGATAGAAGTACACCTCACTGCATGTTCCCTTGGTATCCCCTTCCCACCAGATTGTGACTGTATCGAGGGCTATGAGGCGAGTGAAAAACCCTCTCTCCTTCGACGTTTCCTCCCTGCCCAACCGCACCCATGCTGAGACATTCTCCAACGACAAAGCGGACCCCTGGCAGGTGGGGATGAGGGTGGAGATGAGGGTGGGGATGAGGGTGGGGATGAGGGTGGGGATGAGGGTGGGGATGAGGGTGGGGATGAGGGTGGGGATGAGGCTGGGGCTAAGAGTGCATTGGTAGCATGTGACCCGCTCTCATTTGACGTGTCCTCTCTCCCCAACTGCACCCACGTGGAAACATTCTCCTCTGACAAAGCGGACCCCTGGCAGGTGGGAGAGTGGGGTTGGGAGTGGGGATGAGGGTGGGGATGAGGGTGGGGATGAGAGAATAGGGATGAACTTTTGTGGTGATGAGAGCACGCTGGTAGCACGTGATGTAACTCATGAATCCTCCTCCCTGCTCAATCCTCCTCTCGCCATTACCCCCCCGCCCCCCCACCCCACACCCCCCCCACCTTCTACTACTCCCATCAGCATCTACTAGACTCAGAGCACTTGGTCCTCCTCTCGCATGCTCTTTCCTCCCTCGACCCCCACCGCCGCCTCGTAAGTTCACTCTTAGCTAAACTCGCTTGTTTAACAGGCACAGGCACTCTCCTCTCATCAGCATCTACTACACTCAGAGCACCTGGTTCACCTCTCACATGCTCTTTCCTCCCTCGACCCCCACTGCCGCCTCGTGAGTAAACTTTTGGCCACCTCGTGAGTCAACGTTTAGCTAGACACGCTTGTTCAACAGGCCGAAGTGACACTTACCCAGCAGTTACCGGCTATCTGTACACAACAGTGCTTCTAAACTGCCGAGCCTAGCTACAGATAGCCAGGGAGGCTGCTACAGATGGTCAAAGCTGTGTACATTCTACCACACATGTCAGATGTGCTGTGTGTTATTGCACCATTTCCACACTAATAATATCGCCCTCCCTCCTCCTCTCTCCCTGGCTCTCGCCGTCCTTCTCCCCCTTGTTTCTTCACCCAAATGAGCAGATTCTGGAGCTCCGATTTGGTCTTAGGGGACATTTGCGGCACCTTAATACTCGATCTCCCCCTCGCCCTGGCTCTCACCGCCCTTCTCCCCCTCGTTTCTTCACCCAAATGAGCAGATTCTGGAGCTCCAGTTTGGTCTTAGAGGACTTTTCGGCGCCTTAATACTCGCTTTCCCTCTCCCCTGGATCTCGCCGCCCTTCTCCCCCTCGTTTCTGCACTCCAAATGAGCAGATTCTGGAGCTCCGGTTTGGTCTTAGGGGATCTCGCCAAGTCTCACAAGAGGAGGTAAGTGCACCATACGAGGCACCATACGAGACACCACATGAGGCACCACATGAGGCACAAATACCTATATGATGCACCATGGGATGCGCTGTATTTACCTTGACTGGTGGCTGACAGATTTTTTTTCTCCCTTGTGTACACAGATTGCTGCAGCACTGGGGATGACACTCAAAATGGTGTCTTATTTGGAGGTATGTGTGTGTGTGTTTGTGATTTGGGGAAAAGAAAGGGTGGGAGGGGGTATGTGTGTGTGGGTGTGGGTGGGGATGGTGTAGGTGTGAGTGTTCTTGTGTTTTTGTTTCGTTGTTGTTAAGTTGTCCTTGCACATTTGCGGTCACCGTGCTAAGTCATCCTCTTTATGCGTGATTATGCGTGCGTGTATGCGTGTACGCATGCATATGCGCTTTTGTGTGTTTTACTACGCAGGTATCAGCATTGCGGCAATTGAGGAAGGCATGTGTGGGTGGCCTGAATAAAAGTTGAATTTTCGATCTCTTTTTGCGAAGCCTATTTGGTCCCGTATGCTTAATCATTCGCTTTTAGTTGAATTGAGAAATATATTATTTTTGCTGCAACTTCAACGTGAAGGTGTAGTGATAATCAACACAGCCAACGCAGCTTTGCATCGTGGAAGCGCTACTGTCCAGTTTTCTTAGGCTGCGAGTCGGTTTCTATTGTAGCGAAAAACAGTAACCCGTCGCACATGTGTGTCGCTCACCGAAGCCGCGGTGGTTCCTCCTCTCCCCACGGCTCAACCATGACCCAAGTCCCCAGGACCTTGAATATTGTGTGCAGGAAGATGTGCAGGAATTGTTGAATATTGCGTCCGATTGAGCCGAGCCAAGGCTTCAATCAACCACGCCGCTTGCTCGAGATCACCGAAATTGCAGCATGCGTTTCGACATTTGACGAGTAACTGTCTCGCGCATGAAACCAAACCATGACGTCGCAGCCAGCTACCATAACGAGTCACTATCTAGCGCATTATACTCGATACAATGTCCACACGATCTTGTTAGTGCTACTAGCCGCGGGCCTCCTAGCCCTAGTGTACTGGATCAACTCCGATGAGTTAATGGACCTCTCGATTGAGCGCAGCGGCGTCAACAGCGCCGCGCCGAGTACTACTTTGGCGGAACCGCCTTCCGCGGGAAATAAAGATGGCGCAGTAAATGCTACCGCCAGTGGCGGGGATCCTTCCGCCGGTAGCGCAGCCCCGCGGGCGATCTCTCAAACGTTCCGGCCGTCGCATCAGCCTCCGAGTCGCCGCTACTACAGCTGGAAGCGCTACAACCCGCAGGCGCGCCGGCCGCCACCGCCACCCCTGCGGCGTTCGACGCGCGCGCAGTGATATTCGGCGGGAAGCCGCTCTGCTGGTGGTCTGGCGATCACGGCGGTTACGGCTGGGACGACGGCGCGTCAGCTGCGGAAAATGGGGACATTGGGGAAATTTCAAACGGGAGTTTCGCTCCCGCGAGCGGGGGTAGTAGAAATAAATATCGGCGGCGCGGCGGGGTGGTGATTTTCGGGAGCGGTTGCGCGGGGTGCGTTGCGGGGCAGTGGTGTAGTTTCGAGATCGAAATAAGACCGCCCGCGAAATGGGTGATCTCCGAAAAGGATGCGTTCGTGGACTTACTTATAGTGGAGCTGTGGGGGCCTTCTATCGCGTATGCGGAGGTGAAGAAAGAGGGAAGCGACAACACGCGGTGGAGGGTCTCTTATCGAGTCTGGGATGTGGGAAAATACATGTGAGTGAGTTTTTATGGTCCACCCTCCCCACATAATAACCGCGAGACAGGAGACCTCTTTTGAGGTGCCTCAAAAATACATGTGCGTGAGTGAGTTTTTATGGTGTTTCTCAAAAATACACCCCCTCAACAACCCCCACCCCCCCTCCTCCCCCTCCTCTCCTCCCACCCCCCTCCCCCAAACCACCCACCCCCCCTTCTCCCCCCAATCAATCCCAAGAGAAATCCAATGTTTCAAGGCAGGAAGGACGGTTGGGTGGGTGGAATGGTTTGTGCTGGAATCGAAAGTGTACACCTGTTTCACCCTTGTGTGACATACAAACTGTTGTTGCATTTCTTCCATACAATCAATTGTTTCAAAACGCATGCGTAATAACTCAGCTTCTCCGCCCCCCCCCTCACTCCCCCCCTACACTCCAACAGCGCTACAGTCATATCCGGTTGTAGCAATCTCAACTACACTGCAAAATTCGCCCAGCAAGGCACTGAGGCGTTCGCAAACTGGACTCTAACCGTCACTGACCCTTTAGAGGATCTCCTACTAAGGGAAACTTCCAACCAAATCCATCCTCCCAAGAATATCAGCTCTCTCTTAAAGCCCGAATCAGTAAATAGTGAAGCGGGGATGAACAGGAAATTAGCAACTGGGAAGGCACAGGCAGCAGAGCTGGGGCGGGGGAGCAGAAGGGGAATACAGCAGGGGGAGGGGCAGCAACGAGCATTGGTGCGGCAGGGACAGGGGGGCAGGTAGCAGAGCAGGCAGGGGCGCGGGAAGAGGGAGGGAGGGCGGAGGCAGAGGGGCAGGGGGAGGAGGAAGCGGAGGAGGAGGCGGAGGGGGAGGCGGAGGGGGGGGCGGAGGGGGAGGCGGAGTGGCGGAGAGAGGCGGAATTGGAGCTGTATGAGGGGCCGTGCCGCCAGTCTGTGGCTGGCAGGTGGCTCAGCGAGGGCCACAAGTACAGGTGAGGTTCCATGCTTGGTGATTGGGGTGTTTTAAAAGAATTATAAAAAACTCCCTGCAACCCAGTCCTTGATCAGAAATGACAGCCCCTGAGTTGACTTTTGAGTCGACTAAAAGGTCAACTCGGTGTGTTTAAGAGTTCTCAGAAACTCCATGCAACCCTATCCTTCATCAGAAATGACAGCCCCTGAGAATCCACTTCCCTCTCTCCCCCCACCCCATCACAGGTGGCCTGGCCACTCCCCTATCCTTCTACCCGTGTGCCTCGCCCCTTGCCTGAATCACAACTATGACCTCTCCCCTCCTCCCTTCGCAGGTGGCGTTTCTACCCATGTGCGTCCCCGCTCCCCCCACCATCGCAGTGGGTTGAGGCTCTGCAGGCGCGGGGCATTCGGGAGATCAGCTTTGTGGGCGACTCACACCAGCGCTTCCTCATGCTCTTTATAAACTACCTCGTTATGCACGACGTCGACGACGCGCTCTGGAAGTTCCACGGGGATATTGTTATCAACATCCCGCCGCCCAAGGAGAGGACGGACTTAAAGCCGCTGAAAATGAATTTCTTCTGGGTGGATGGGACCTACCAGAATGGGGAGTATGGATGCGAGTAAGTCATCCCACTTTCAACGCGTCACCACCCCTTTTTTTTTTGTTCCCTGCTGTTGCTGTTGCTGTTGCTATTGCTGTTGCTGTCGCTGTAGTTATTGGAAAAAAAAAAATCATCTGTATTTTTCAAATATTGGTTTGCCACCACCTTCCAACTCCAGCCTCCCTTCCTCCCTCCCTTCCTCACTGCAGCTGCCGTGGCTTCTGGTCACACCGCAACGATTCGTTCCCTGAATTCTCCGATTCTGCAGACGTGACAATCATAGACGGTGGCTTCTGGTCCGCTAGCAACTGCTTCCAGTCCGAGCACGCCTTCAGTAAACACCTCCCCGCTTACCTTGCCTGGGCCAGGCGCCAACTGGACAGGCTGCAACTGTGGCATGCGAAACAGAAGGGAGGGGAAATGGAAAGGAAGGCGGAGGGGGAGGGAAAAGGAGACAGGGAGGGTAAGGGGAGCGGGGAGGGTAAGGGTGTTGGGGAGGGGAAAGTGGAGGAGGGGGAGAAGAAAAGGGATGGGCAGCGGAAGGGGGAGGGGAGGAAGCTGGAGGAGGGAGAAGGGGAGACAGGATCTGGATCAGGGAATTCGAGTGCAGTGAACACCAGTGGAATCTCCTTAGAGCCAGGTACTACCTGGACAGGGGGGGAGGGGAAAAGTGGGAAAGGGAAGCCGTGGATGCTGTATCGGAGCATTATTCCTTGGAGGCCGAGCGGGAAATGCGAGGGGAAATTTACAACAAACTCTCTTATCGAGCACATGAATGGGATGATCAGGGCTGAGATTGAGCGGTATGGGATTGGGTATCTGGATGGGTGGCCGGTTGAAGCTCCGAGGTATTTTGACACGTGTACTGAAACGGATCCGCACTACACGTGTCATAAACCAAAACAAGGCACCAAGAATGGCATGTTCTTTGGGGATGTTGGGCAGGCTATGGTGGAACACACCATCTACACTCTTCTGTATCGACTGCAATAAAAATGAGAATGATGGGCGCATAAGCCCGAACTTATTTTATTCTGCTTGCAAAGATCCATAACATCTACCCTGTACCCTAGGCATTTCGTTTCTTCAAATGACAACTTGAGAAAGCTTGCTTCTTGACTAGCATACCGTAATCACCCGGACAAAACACCCCCCCGTAATAGTACACCCCCGGGTAGCTTGTGCGGGGGGGGTGCTATAGCCGACCTCGTTTGTACTATACCCCCCTTTTTGGGATGATTCTCTATAACACCCCCCTTTTCTTATGAAACCCTATTATAGCTGTGTCAAAACATATGCATATTATATCTAGGCTATATTGGGGATAGCCTTAGGGGGTACACACATTTCTCTCGACACTCTACTCTTGTACCCCACCTTGACCTAATCTCATCATCCTTGCCTTAGATTCTAACATGGTATAGAGCAGGAGGTCCTTAGGACCTTAGTACCTGTTCTGTTTGGGCCCACCTTACAAATCACCTGCGGTTACCGCGTTACCCCGCGCCCGCCCTACCCTACTACGCGTCGCGCTGCCCCTGCTGGCCGCGCGCCACTGCTGCAGCTCGCATTTTCCCTTTTTTTCGCGCGCTGCCCTGCCTGCTCTGCCCCGCGCGCGCTACGCTCGTCGCGTCGCCCCGCGGCCCTCGCGCGGCTCTCGCGCGGCCCTTTCGTGGCCCTTCGCGGCCCTCGCGCGGCCCTTTTGTGGCCCTCGCGCGGCCCTTTCGCGGCCGTCCGCGGCTCTCCGCTGCCCCTTCGCGGCCCCCTACGCGGCCCCTCCGCGGCTCTGCCGCCCTGCCGCTTCGTCGCCCCACCGTAGCCGCCTCCGCAGCAGCGGCCGTCGCACTTCCTGCCGCTGCAGCTTCCGCCACGGCTGGTTGCCGCTGCAGCTTCCGCCACGGCTGGTTGCCGCTGCAGCTGCTGCCGTGACGACCGCCGCCACTGCCGCTGAGGCAGCCGCTGCCGCCCCTGCCCCTGGCTCCTGGGGCAGCCGCCCCTGCAGCAGCCGCCCCTGGTCCCTGGAGCAGCCGCCCCTACACCTGCTGCCCCTTGCCACTGGAGCAGCTGCCCCTGCAGCAGCCGCACCTGCCCCTGGCCCTTCGGGCAGCCGCCCCTGCAGCAGCCGCCCCTGGCCCCTGGAGCAGCCGCCCCTGGCCCCTGCAGCAGCCGCCCCTGGAGCAGCCGCCCCTGCAGCAGCCGCCCCTGGCCCCTACGGCAGCCGCCCCTGCAGCAGCCGCCCCTGGAGCAGCCGCCCCTGCAGCAGCCGCCTCTGGAGCAACCGCCCCTGCAGCAGCCGCCCCTGGCCCCTGCAGCAGCCGCCCCTGGAGCAACCGCCCCTGCAGCAGCCGCCCCTGGCCCCTGCAGCAGCCGCCCCTGGCCCCTGCAGCAGCCGCCCCTGGAGCAGCCGCCCCTGCAGCAGCCGCCCCTGGCCCCTGGAGCAGCCGCCCCTGGAGCAGCCGCCACCTGCAGCTGCCGCGGAGCCCTAGCCCTACAGTGGTGCCGGCCTCACCATTGCCGCCGTTGTACGCCGGCCCTTCTTGCCACTGGTGAGCACTGTCCTGCCCGTACTGCTGTTACTACTGCTCCTGCTGCTACTGCTCTTTCTCCTGCTACTGCTGCTCGTGCTGCTCCTACGGCTACTGTGCTTTCTCCTGCTCCTGCTGCTACTGCTGCTACTGCTGCTACTGCTGCTCCTGCTGCTACTGCCGCTACTCCTGCTCGTGCTGCTCCTACGGCTCCTACCCTTCCTACTGCCACTGCTGCTCCTGGCGTGGCCAGATGCAGCTCCAGCGCCGTCCACGTGAGCCTCTCCCGCCCCCACAGCTTCATGAGTGGTATGCTAGTTGGGGTTGTCGGGGTGGCCGTCGTGGGAGTCGTTCTGGCGTGAGTAGTTTCGGGGCTTCTTGTAGTGGCCAGGTGCAGCTGCAGCGTCGTGTACGCACGGTCCCTTCGCCTCCGCAACTTCATGAGTGGTACTTTCAGCGGGGGGGGTCACGGGGTTCTGCTCGCTGCCCGTACGTCATTCGCACTGGTGCTCGGACTGGCCAGCCTTGCGGGACGTTTGGTCACACAGAGTCCCGCTGCTTCGCCAGTCTGAGCGACGCCTGGCGTACGGAGTTTGGCGACGCGGCTGAGCTCCCCGACTGGGTGGAGCTGCTCCGGCAGAGGGTAGATATCTATGCTCTTGACTTTGATGCTATCCTCACTGCCATGTATGCATTGTCTACTAGTGATGTCGGTGACTGTTCCCTGAGTGCTCCGCCCGACCCGGGCGGTGCAGCTGCTGCTCTAGGTGCTAGTGAGTCAGCTGCTCCGGGTGCTAGTGAGTCTGCTGCTCCAGGTGCTGGTGAGTCTGCTGCTCCAGGTGCTGGTGAGTCTGCTGCTCCAGGTGCTGGTGAGTTTGCTCTCTCAGGTACCACGTCTGCTCCGGCGTCGCACACTTTCACCCTTGACTCGGGTGCTTCCCGCTCCTTCTTTCGAGACTGCACCACTCTCACGCCGCTCAGTCGGCCGGTTGCGGTCTCCCTGGCAGACCCCTCTGGGGGTCCTGTTCTTGCCCACTACTCCACTGTACTACCGTGTCCAGCGGTCCCGTCTGGCTCCCTGTCGGGTCTTTACCTCCCCTCGTTCTCTACGAACTTGGTGGCGGGTGCTGACCTACAGGACGGGGGGGTTGACCAGTTCACCCCTGCGCGTCAGCGGGTGACCCACTGCACGTGTGCAGACACGGGCCGACACTTGGCCACGTTTACCCGTCGGCCGGGGTCGAGCCTGTACACCCTCACTACTGAGTCTCCTCCGGTTGCTGTGCCTGGTCAGGTAGCTGCGTCGGGTCAGGTGTTTGCTGCGGCGTCTCGGTCTGGTCCTGAGTCTGCCCCCTGCTCGTGTCGCCTCCTGTCCCACGAGACTCTTCTCTGGCACCACCGTCTTGGTCACCCCTCCCTGCCTCGTCTCCGAGGCATGGCCTCTCGTGTCCTGGTCTCTGGCCGGTCGCTCCCTCCCCTCCCCCCGGGGCCTGCCCCTACCTGCGTTCCCTGCGTCGAGGGGCGGCAGCGCGCCGCTCCTCACTCCTCCGAGTTTCCGCCGACAGAGGCTCCGCTGCAGACTCTTCACATGGACGTGTGGGGCCCAGCCCGCGTCCGTGGACAGGGTCACGAGCGCTACTTCCTGCTGGTAGTTGACGACTACTCGCGTTACACCACGGTCTTCCCCTTGCGCCGCAAGGATGAGGTCACTGAGGTGTTGATCGACTGGATCCGCGCTGCTCGTCTCCAGCTCAGGAAGAGTTTCCGCTCGGACTTTCCTGTTTTGCGTCTGCACTCAGACAGAGGTGGTGAGTTTTCCTCCGGCCCTCTGCGAGCCTTCTGTCGTGCGAGGGGCATCCGCCAGACGTTCACGCTTCCGGCCTCTCCGCAGCAAAATGGGATTGCTGAGCGCCGCATTGGCATGGTCATGGATGTCGCTCGTACGTCCATGATCCATGCGGCTGCTCCCCATTTTCTGTGGCCGTTTGCGGTTCAGTACGCGGCGCGTCAGATCAACCTTCAGCCCCGGGTCTCCATGCCGGGGACCTCCCCCACTCTGTTGTGGACGGGGAAGGTTGGCGATGCGTCTGCGTTCCGTGTCTGGGGATCTCGGGCTTTTGTCCGAGACTTGTCTGCGGACAAGATGTCCTCCCGTGCTATTCCCTGCGTCTTCCTTGGCTTCCCCCTTGACGCGCCTGGTTGGCAGTTTTACCACCCCACCTCGCGCCGTGTTCTGTCCTCCCAGGACGTCACGTTTGACGAGTCGGTTCCGTACTACCGTCTCTTCCCCTACCGCGCTGCCCCCCTTCCCCCCCCGCCGCTCTTCCTTACGCCAGGTCCCCCCCCGGTAGACCCCCTCCCCCCTCAGGGTACGGCTCCTTCAGGTATGTCTCAGGTAGACCCCCCCCCCCTTGGCTGAGCCTTTGGAGGTCACTTCTGACACCTCTGGCCCACCTGAGGGGGGTGACGTTGCTGCTGACGCCCCGGCGGCCTTCGGCCGTGCACCACGCTTGGAGACCCCTCCAGGGTTCCCGCCGCGACCGTCTTCGCCGCCTCTGCAGCCGGTTACTGTTGACTCTGGTGCTGTTGGGGGTGGTGCTCCTGGCGGTGCGGAGTCTTGGGGTGCTGAGCCTGGGGGTGCGGAGTCTGGGGGTACTGAGCCTGTGTGTGCGGAGTCTGGGGGTGCTGAGTCTGGCGGTGAGACGCTTGAGGGTACTGGGACTGCTGGTGCGCGGCCTACTTGGAGTGGCCGCCTTCGTCCGCGTGTGCCTCTCACCCCTCAGCAGCTACACGACTGGTACGGTCGCCGTCAGCGTCGCGCTGCTGGAGCCCGGGGCTCTACTGCTGGGGGTGCTAGAGCTGCTGGTTCTGGGGGTGCTGCTGCTGGAGACGTTGCGGTTGGGGACCCTGGGACTGGAGGTGCTGGTTCTGGGGGTGCTGCTGCGGGAGACCCTGCGGTTGGAGACCCTGGGACTGGAGGTGCTGGTTCTGGGGGTGCTGCGGCGGGAGGCACTGCGGTTGGGGACCCTGGGACTAGAGGTGCTGGTTCTGGGGGTGCTGCTGCGGGAGACCCTGCGGTTGGAGACCCTGGGGCTGGAGGTGCCGGTTCTGGGGGTGCTGCTGCTGGTGCCGCTGGTTCTGGTGGTGCTACCGCTGGAGGTACCGGTTCTGCGACTGGAGCTGCTGGAGCTGCTGGAGCTGCTGGAGGCACTGGAGCTACTGGAGTTACTGGAGGTGTTGGAGCTGCTGGAGGCACTGGAGCTGCTGGAGGTGCTGGAGGTGCTGGAGCTGCTGGTGCTGGTGCAGCTGCGCCGACACGACTGTTCTTCGCTCCGCCGTCTCCGTCGTCTCTGCCACCGCCTGACTCTGCTCTTCGTCAGGTTGTTACTCTCCCGTCGTCTACTGGTCTTCCGTTACAGCCTGGCTCACCGCTGCCTGCTCCCTCTCCTTACACTGAGCAGACAGGTA